TTCATGGACAGTAACATAAGATCAGAAGAGTTTATGTAAAAGATATATTAATTTCTGAAAGATCTCAACAGAAATCCATTTTAGAGAAAAAAAAACTTTTTTTTTACTTAGTATTAGCACAGAAGAGAGCTCAAAATCAAATGCAAACAGTAAATTAATCGTTCAACTTTAATTAATCCGTCCCTTGCAGTAAAGTCTAATGGAGTTAATCCTATTAATAAAAACACTATACACATTGTTTCTGAAAGGCCTCTAACAGCCGATTTTATTATCATCATTATTTTCATTATTCTTTTCTTTCGCAATCTCCCTCGTTACCAGAACCCAAATACGTAGATTCGGTTAACCTCAACTGACCTTTTCTTATCACGTGACCGCTTCCAGACCAGAGCGAGGAACGGAAATCTCATTGTGAGGAAAGAGACGAAACCGAGAGGCAAAGTGTGTGAGGTGGCTGTTCCTCTTACCGGAGTCCCAGCTCCCGGAAATCAGCTGTTCGTCTCGTGCCTAGAAGAAAAGAGAGAGAAAATAGAAGGGTAAAGGTGAGAAAGAAGGTAGGTTAAAAGAGAAAAAATAGAAGGTAGGTTAAAAGAGAGAGAAAAATAGAAGGTAGTTAAAAGAGAGAGAAAAATAGAAGTAGGTTAAAAGAGAGAGAAAATAGAAGGTAGGTTAAAAGAGAGAGAAAAATAGAAGGTAGGTTAAAAGAGAAGAGAAAAAATAGAAGGTAGGTTAAAAGAGAGAGAAAAATAGAAGGTAGGTTAAAAGAGAGAAAAATAGAAGGTAGGTTAAAAGAGAGAGAAAAATAGAAGGTAGGTTAAAAGAGAGAGAAAAATAGAAGGTAGGTTAAAAGAGAGAAAAATAGAAGGTAGGTAAAAAGAGAGAAAAATAGAAGGTAGGTTAAAAGAGAGAGAAAATAGAAGTAGGTTAAAAGAGAGAGAAAAATAGAAGGTAGGTTAAAAGAGAGAGAAAAATAGAAGGTAGGTTAAAAGAGAGAGAAAAATAGAAGGTAGGTTAAAAGAGAGAGAAAAATAGAAGGTAGGTTAAAAGGGAGAGAAAATAGAGAGAAAAATAGAAGGTAGGTTAAAAGAGAGAGAAAAATAGAAGGTAGGTTAAAAGAGAGAGAAAAATAGAAGGTAGGTTAAAAGAGAGAGAAAAATAGAAGGTAGGTTAAAAGAGAAAAATAGAAGGTAGGTTAAAAGAGAGAGAAAAGTAGAAGGGTAAAAGAGAGAGAAAAATAGAAGGTAGGTTAAAAGAGAGAGAAAAATAGAAGGTAGGTTAAAAGAGAGAGAAAAAGAAAAGGGAAAGAAGGCTAGATCAGGAGCAACTCGAGGAGGTGTCATGGCGTCCGATTCTAATTTTTTTTCGGAAAAAGTACGTGGGGTTTATTTTGATGACGTCACGATAGTTATGGATGCTTTGTGAATATGGTCGATCATTTTGGTCTTTTCAATTTTCAAAAAGGATGGAAAATAATGATTTAAATGGT